GCTACTACTACTACTGCCTAGGGACAAATTGAGAACCACTGGGCCATATCCAGGGCTTTCAACCATAACATGTTTTGGTTACCAGAGTGCTTTAAAATACCTAGGCCTGGGCCCCAGATAATTTAATTGATTCATGAATTGATTGAATTTTTATAATTTGATATAAATAGTCTAAGGAGAGACCTGAGCACCTCATAGTTGGAATGCTTTCTCATCAGGAGCTTCTGCTTTCTTCAAATGAGCTCTGCTCTAACTCCAAAGTATACCCAGGCATCAACAATACCGCAATTGAGACTGCTGGAACCAGAATCTGAATTGTAGCAAGTTCCCTGCACATTAGAGTCTGAATGAAGCCTAAGTCTTAGCCTAGAAAAGGTTTCCTTAAGGCTTTTGCAGCATCACTTGTGAGCTAGATCTCTGGAGACCTCAGGCTGGAGAGATAAGCACAGAATACACCATTTACTGCTTCTCAAACATATTAAAGAAGTACCACTGAACAGGTAGCAAGAATTTTGCCCAATCTGCAGAAAAGAAAGGCTTCCATTAGCATCAACAGATTGACCTTTAGATACAGAATCCAAATGTAAAAATTGAACAGTAAGTGGGCACCCTCAGGCAAAACAGGGTGGAAACCTCAGCAGTGAATTCCAAAACTTGGCAGAAGAGGATCCCAGACCTGAACAGACTTGATCTTGCATTTAGCTTCATCCTGGCTAGGGGTTGTCACTAATTATCATAGGTGTGGTGTATCCTTACTACTGCATATGGATTATACAGTTTATATTCCAAAATGAAGACTCAGCCATTTACCCCCTCCAAGGACTGTAAAGCACCAGGGCCCAGAGGATCCAAACCATCTAATATAATCAAGATTCTAGACTGGGTACAAAAGCAAAACAGTATCATTCTGGAAAAAAAATAAAAACCAATAGGGATTAATATCAAGTATTATTCAGGACATGGGGAATGAGCCTTTCCTATTCTGCTGGTGAAAGTGTTCATGAAAATGTTAGTTCATGTAGAATTTTTAGGAGGTAACTTGGAAAATTCCCTCAGAATTTTAAACATGTATATGTTACTACCTGCAGTCCCACAGCTAGTAACATAGCCTACAGAAATATTACATGTGTGTAAAAACAAATATTCAAGAAAGTACTTTTCAGCATTGTTTCTAACCCTTAAAAATAGAAGTAAGCTATAGACATAAAAAAGGAGTACCAAAAGGGCCGGTGAGATAGCTCTGTGGACTAAGGGCCTGCTTAGGCAAGTGCAGGGACAGGGGTACTATCCTCAGCACCACATGCCGGGCTGGCCCCATCCCCTGGGCGCGCTGAGCCGGCCACCAAAACAGTGTGGTGGTGCACGACAGTAATCCCAGTGCTGGCAGGGGACAAGGGGGAGGCACCTGAAAACAGGAGAATCACTACAGGTCCAAGCTGCATAGTGAGACCTGTACCAAATACATTTTTTAAAAAGGAGTATATAAATTCCCATAACTTAGAAGTCTTCTACTTAAAGAATGAGAACTGTATATGTTGTACACATGTGTATATAGTGTAACTTTACTTCTGTTTTTTAAAATTTCCACACATTTATGTAAATATATTTAAGAATAAGCATACAAATCTGCAAATATATCTACCAATCTCCACTTTTAGGAAGTAAGGCTGTATTGAGTAAATTCAGTTTCGTTTTGTCTATACACCTTCCTATAATCTCTTAAATTTGTTTAAACTGTCACATATTACTTTTATTGTTTTAAAATTCTCAAACATAAATTTAAAAAAATTCTCAAACAGATAAAAATTGCTTAGTTATATATATTTAGCCTTATTGATTAGAAATAATGTAAAATAGCATAATTGATTAGGTTTGAACTTTCTTAGAAAAAATCTCATGCAATCTGGATTCCTTGAAATTAAATCCAGATAGTTATGGTTGGCTTTTGAGATTACCAAAGACTTCTTAATATCAATTTAGTAGCAAATTCTGGAAATCTGAATTATGTCTTTTAGTACCTGCTCTTTTAAAAAACATATTTATTTATTTACTTATTTACTTGGTACAGGTCTTGCTACACAATTCAGACTCATAGTGATCCTCTTGTCTCAACCTCCCCAATTCTGGGATTACAGGCATGCTTCGCCATGCCTGATTTAGGTGGTGCACATGGCGAGCCCAGGAACCTGGAGCAGCACAACATATGGTACTAGGGATCAAACTTGGAACTTTGCACTTGTCAGGAAGGCATTTAGACTGTGGAGCTATCTCTTCAGCACCTACTCTTTAATTGTGTGCGTGTGTGTGTGTGTGTGTGTCTCTCTATCTATCTCTCTCTCTCTCTCTCTCTCTCTCTCTCTCTCTCTCTCTCTCTCTATTAAACTCAGGACCTTCACACTGACCCCCCCCCCGCTCTTATTTATTTTTTATCTAGAGACAATTTCCCTAATTTCCCAGGTGGGGCTCAAACTTATGATCCTCCTGGCTCAGCCTCCCAGAGTGCTGGGATTACAGGTATGCTCCATCAGGAACCTCCACTTCTACCCCTCATTCCTCCAATACTCCCCTTGACCCAATCTCTCCATCCTTAACTTGACTCTCACTTGAGTGTATGTGTGACCATATGGCCACCAAGTTCGGGTCTTGGTATAAGAATCTGCCCTCCCCACAGCTAAAACTCTTTACCCTGGATTCATCTTCGGGTTCCAAGCATCTTGCTGAGCACCAGTCCTATGCCCAGTGTTTCTACTGGCTCCTCTCAAATTTACCTCCTTACCCTGAGAACTATCTCAGATATTCAGATTTCACATCTTTTATCTAGAATGAAGCCAAAGCTAACTTTCAGTTTCTGGGAGACGGTGGTTTGAGTTAGATGCCTGTCTTGGTTCTATCAAATAAAGCCAGAGGGGAAGATCCAGGCAGAGCTAGCCAGAAGCATCTTTGATGGCTGGTACAATTCTCAGAAAATGAGATGTGGCAGTGCTATCCAATAAGTGAAAGCCCCAAATTTGCCTGCTACAGAAATATCAATGAGTATCAGCTCCACATCTACGATATGGGTTAGCCTCCCCCACATGTGGAATAGGGACAAGACTTCACCAGCAAAGAAGAGTATAATTTAGTGGGTAAGTGCATTAACTTTGGGGTTCTTTCTTTCTTTCTTTCTTTCTTTCTTTCTTTCTTTCTTTCTTTCTTTTCTTTTGAGGTACCAGGGATTGAACTCAGGACCCTGCACTTGCCAGTCACGTGTTTATTTCATTGAGCCATCTTCCAGGCTTTCTTTCTTTCCTTTCTTTTCTTTTCTTTTCTTTCTTTTCTTTTTTTTTTTTTATTTTTTTTTATTTTTTAGGGAAGGGTCTACAAGGTCTTTAGGGTCTCACTACTAGATCAAACTCGTAGTGATCCGCCTGTTTACAGCCTCCCAAGAGCTGGGATTACAGGTGTGCACCACCATGTCCAGTCTCAATTTCCATCTCAGTGTGCCCTGGAGGCGGGGCCAGCATGGCAGGCCCCGGGAACCGAACCCTGGCTCCTGCGCCTGTTTGCAGGTGCTTTTAATGTGCTTAGCTATTTGGCTGGTCCTTAACTTTGGAATCAAGTGTTTTTTTCCTAGTTCTGCCACAAATTATTTTGTTCTAGAGACAGTTATCATCTCATTATTGTTATTATTATTACTATTATTATTATTATTATTAATGTATGGGGTACAGAGTCTCACTATGCAGCTTGGAGTCATAGTGATCCTCCTGTTTTCAGCCTCCCCAGTGCTGGGATTACAGGTGTGCACCACCACACCCAGTGTGGGTGGCTGGCTCCATGCACCCGGGAGCTGGGCCAGCGCAGCATGTGGTGCCGGGGATCAAACCCCTGTCCACTGTGCTTGCCTAAGCAGGCACCTAGTCTGCTGCGATATCGTACCAGCCCTAGTTACTCATCTCTTTATGACATTTTCTTACCTATTACATGGCAAAAATAATAGCTAATCTCATTGAGTATTTGCAGATATTAAATGAGATTAAATAGCAGACTACCTAGTTCATGGCAATCACTTAATAAAGGGCAACTATCATTATTAATATCATTACATCACCATTAGTATTATTATGAAGGAATGATAATAGTATAATAAAAGGCAGTAGGCTTGACATAACACACATGCACACAATTCACCTATAATCTTACAGGGAGAGCGAGAGAGAGAACGTAGGGAAAACAGAAATATAGGTTAAACAGGCTGTATTAACAGTATATAATATAAATGGTAATAAGACATTAGGATAAAGATATCAGGCTAATAAGATAATAAAAATATAATTATAATGGGGCTCTGACTGTGGAGCACTGCCTGTTACACGCCTCTGTGCTCCTGAAGGGTTGTACAAGGAGACACTAAACACACGATTCCAGAAATGTCAGCCTTGTCATACTGTGGCATGAAGCAAAACTGCTCCGAAGAAACAGTGCTTTTGTCTAAAATAGAAACTTTGAAGGAAGCCAAGTTAACACATGACAACTGAATATCCAGTTCGGGGGTGGTGGGGTGGGAGACAAAGTCCTTTTATTTCTGAAATGAAAGGGGGAATTAACTGGTATCAAAATTCACATTTCCTTCTTGGAGAAATTCTCCAGCCAAGCTGGGTGCTAACCCAGTAGGCGATTTCACTTCACCGTCACTTTGCAAAAGACTTCCAAATTCACTGCAGCAGACCGCAAAGTAAAATGTTAAGTACATCCTAGCTGAGAGGAGACGGAAGCCTCCACGCTCAGAGGTTTGCAATAATAGGATTCATAAAAATTAAAAAAAAAAAAAAAGGACAGATGGGATTAGAAAATGTTGCAGTGAAGACTGTGGAATGAGATGAGCTCACAGCCCAGAGCCCAGCCTGTCTTTTGTGGACCTACACAATGATCGGAGAGCCAGACTGGATTAGGAAACCTCGCGAGTAGGGGTCCAGAGAGAGGCTGCCGATTCCCAGACACTTAAGGGAGAGAAGGCTGAAATGATGCATCAGATTTACAGCTGCAGTGATGAAAATATAGAAGTTTTCACCACCGTGATTCCTTCCAAAGGTGAGTATCATTGCCCTTGGCTGTCCCTAAGGTGGCATCTCATGCGGGAGGGTGAAGACAATCACGTGCTATTTTACTATGGTGTACACCGAAGTTCCCGCAGTCTAATGGGTTCTCCGTTTTAATGATATTTGGTTTATTTTTTTTTTTCTGAAAAGAAGGTTCAAGGATAAACATCAATCATTCAGAAACAATCTATCAAGGGGGAAGCTAGGGCATTTAAATGCTCCCTGTGCACTTAATTCAATACCGGCAAACCAACAGGCTGAATGAAAGTGACAGCAAGTCATTGTTAAGGAAAACAGAGATGAAAACAAAATTCCCAGGGCAGCTAGACAGACTCTCCCATTTTCTCCAGTGAGCAAGTGAGCTCTGAAACATTAATCTGCTGGCTCAAAAGTATGGTTTCTAACTATACCATGAAATGTGATAAATTCTCCCAGCATTGGCCTAAACTCCAATGAAACAGTTAAACAGTGACCTGACCCTAGGGTGGGTCTCCCCAGAACCGGGGGGACAAACCTGACCTAATCCAGCATGACCAGGTGTGATGACAGGAGAACCTTGACGGAAGCCCTGTTGTGCCCAGCATCAGTGGTAGGTCGCAGGAAAGACCCTGTGGGAGGCTCTCCAGATTCCAAGTGGCCTTTACCAGGCAGGGCCCTCAACCCTCCAAAGCCAGCCCTCTCTCCTGCTGCCCCTGTGAGAGCCAAAGCCCCTATATTTCTGGGAGATCACTTGACAAAGTCTTAGCGCCTGCTCTCATTGTCAGACTTGAATGAAGTGGGCTGGGTGTTTGCTGGTGTTGTGACTCCGCTCAAACAATCCCTTTCTTCCTTCTGTGTCAGCCGCTGACAGGGCCACTACTGGGGGGGAGGGGGCAGGACTAACCCTGGCCACAAAGAGACGGCCAGCAAAACATAAATTAAGCTTTAGACATCCACTGACAGAGGGTGAGAGACAGAGACAGAGACAGAGACAGAGACAGAGACAGAGACCAAAACAGAGAGAGAGACAGAGAGAGAGAGAGAGAGAGAGAGAGAGAGAGAGAGAGAGAGAGAGCCTGCCCACATATAGGAGTTTAGATTCTCTCTGGAGATTCTGAAAGTCAAAAGCTGGCCCTCTGACCAGCAGTTCCACTCTTGGGTAGATAACCCAGGGGAACTCTTACATGTGGGTGCTAATAGTGCCATTGACTCTAAAAAGACAAAACTGAGGCTCACTTAAATGTCTCTGAAGAGGAGAGCAGATAAAACATGATGCCTTCATCCATGCTGTCAGTGGTCAGCAGGCATGAACTAGATTTCTGTGGGTGAGCATAGAGATGGTTGATTGATTGATTATGTATGCAGGGAATCAAGCTAAGCACCTCCTGCATACTAGGCATGCTCTGTACCACCGAATTACATCACTAGTCCATGGCCATACCACTCTAAATGCAAGCAATCTTATCTGAATTACATTCTTATCCCTATCAATGAAAGTTGAATAAGGAAAAAAAAAAAAGCTATCCGACAAATTTTGTATATATAATAACATTTCTATAAATTTGGAAATATAAAATAATAGTGTATGGTGTTTATGGCTAACTGTCTGGAGAGAAGTTTGAACGTGCACTAGAAAGATATAATTAGTGAGCTCAGTAACCCTAGAGGAAGACAGAAGTCAAATTTTAAAAGGGTAGAAAGGGAACCTATACTCTACCTCTTGGGTTTTTTATGAGGAAAACATAAATTGGAAGCAAAGATGAAAATGCTAAATATGACTACATTTTCCATAACTTTAAAAAAAATAAAGGAGAAAATATCAAGGACAAGATGGTTAAGAGATGGTTGCTATTTCTGTGCTGTGTGACCTTTGACAATGTATTTAACCTCTCTGGGCTTGAGTTTGCACTTCTGTAAGTTGGAGAAACAGACTTACCTCCCAGGATTGTCGTGTGGAATAAGTGAGCTAATACAGAACACAGCAAGAGCAGTAGCTGGCAGGTAGTGAGCTCTATTACGTACATCACTTTCAAAGTGATTTCTATTTTTATTCCTTATTTGGAGCAATGAATAAATTCAGAGAAGAACATTGACTCCTGTATTCCTTTCTTTTGTTCTGTTTTCTTTCTTTTTTTTTTTTGTGGCGGAACCGGGGATTGAACTTAGGCCATTGTGCTTGCCTGGGAAGCACTTATTCCACTGAGCCATCTCCCTGGCCCCTTGTATTCCTTTCTTGCTGTTTTCATTCCTGGAGGCACCCTGGTAGTAAACCAAGCAAGTGTTCAGTGGTATTCACAGACATTTCACCCCTCAGGAAGTTGGCCTCTAGAAAAGGAATGTTTGCAGTTCCACCTTGGATCAGAAGTAAGTGGAGGCCCCCCTTTCCAGCTCTTGCTTTGCCTTTGCTGTCTTCAAGCCCTCAGGCATGGGGCTTTGGTGAGAGAAGCTAGTGCTAACAGGTCCTGAGCCAGCTGAGGAGAGGTCAACGGGCTTTTCTCACATCCCCACAGGCTCTAACTGCAGAAATACAAGTTGACTTGCCTACACCTAAGCAGAGTTGTGTCCTCCCCAGCAGCCCTTCCTACAAGGCACAGTTTAGCCCATGATCATCAATATGCAACAACTAACCCCCTCCAAGAACTAACTCACCAGCAGGGCAGTGTACTCTAGTGGTTAAGAGTGTGGGCTCTGTTGCACCACTGACCAAGTGCCTCCTCTACCCTCTCGATATCCTCGTCAGTATGAGGTTAAGGAAAAGCACCTACCTCTATATTCTGTGAAATTAAAGATAAGACAAACCATCACCTCATAAAGCTCAATATAAGCACCATTACATCTGTTGTTTATTGCATTCCTCTTTCCAATAGTGTTGGCCTCCATCTAATATCTACATTTTTTAACTGAGATATCTTAATATGTCACAAAACTATGGTAGCAGCAAATATGGTGTTTTCTAAGTATTTCAAAGGCTGAAAATTTTATGTGCTTTTTCTTGTTAGAGAAAAAGGGAGGCCTTTCAGGAAAAGATTTTATAAATACACTTCACAGTAAGTAAATAACAACAACCCTGTGATTTTAGTAAGAAGTTGTACCAGAAGTTATTTCCTGAGGTACACTAAAGTGGATTTGACTCTAGGGTGAGCATAGCACAGTACTGACAATAATTTGGCAGAGACAGGAACATTGGGGAGGGAATAGTGAGGGGAATCAGAAGAGCAGGAAGAAATGGAGAATGTTTCAGGAAAAGAAACTCTGATGGAACACTGCAATCTCCAAAAATCATCATCTGCCCTCCTCTTGAAGGAAAATAACAGTAACTATGATTAATTCATGGAAATTTACTCTTTGTCAGATTTGGGCAAGAGTTTTTATGAAGATTCATTCAATTAATCATTGACACCATCCCCTGGTAGAAATGCCATTATTTGTTATCCCTGTTTCAAACAGGAGGCGTGTGAGGCTTCAAAAGAATAATTCACTCCTCACACACAGACAAGTGGTCAGGTGAGGATTCACACCCAAGGGGAGGGAGCAGCCCCGGCTCTTCACAGGCACACAGCCAGGTTTCCCACTGCAGGGCTTTAAAGAAGATAGCAAGAGTGCTGCTCTCACTCATCTGCTACATGGTAAGAAGCCACTTCAGTTGTATGCAGGGCAGACACGGGGAGGGTTCCACTTGCAGTAGTTCGTCATAGTAGCAATGTGGAAAATCAATGTCTACATGTCTCCCTGTGCAGTGAAATCCACTTCCAACAAAGTACTGTTTTTCAAAAACTGGTAAACTTATTGCCTTAAAATTTTTAAATTGTGGTAAAATATATAGTTTATAGAATCTATCATTGTAAGTGTACAGTTAATTCAATATATACAACCATCTCTACCATCCATCTCCAGAATTTTTTCATAACCCTAAGCCTATATTCAGTACCCATTAGACTTTGGACATCCTTCTTTTTCTTTTTCTTTTTTTTCTTTTATTGGTGGAACCGGGTATTGAACTCAGGCCATTATGCTTGCCAGGCAAGCACTTATTCCACTGAGCCATCTCCCCAGCCCCTTCCTTCTTTTTCTTGAGGTGGAGACAAAGTCCCACTGTACCATCCAAGTTAACCTTGAACTCCTGGGTCCAATCATCCTTCTGCCTCAGCGTTGCCAGTAGAGGGAACTATAGGCACACAGCATTACACTCATCTGAAACCATTAGAAATAATTTCCAGGGATATAGTTCAGTAGAATAAGCACTTGCCTGGCAAGCACAAGGTCCTGAGTTCAAGCCCTGGTATCACAAAAAGAAAGAAAGAGAGAAAGAGAGAAAGAAAAAAAGAAAAGAATTTCCAATTTCCTGAGCCTCTGTTGACTTTGAATTTGACTACCAGGATTCTCATGTAAGTGGAATTACATAATATGTTACTTTATGCATCACTTATTTCACCCAACACAACATTTTCAAGGTTCATTCATGTGTAGCATTGCATCAAGATTTCATTCCTTTTCATGACTGAGTGATAATCCATTGTATGGATATACCACAATTTGTTTACACATTCATCTGTTAATGGGCATTTAGGTTGTTGCAACTAATGCTGCTATGAACATCTGTGTACTGAAGGTAAGTAGCATCTTCTATTGCAGAGAGATCCTGCCTCTTCTCCCATGCCCCCTACCCTGTTCCAGATCTAAATTTCCCATGTTTTTACTATATCTATGGCAGCCTAGCAGCCATTTTCTAAAACTATGTCTTTATCTCTCTTTGCAGTGACCAGCCCATCCAGGAGAAGAGTCAAAAGTTCTCAACATCTCTTGACTAAGAATGTAAGGATGCTTTATGTTAATCTCCATTGTCTGTCATTACAAAAGTATGGCAACTTCTTTCCTCTCTCCCTTGATATCAACAACACAGAAGATTTTCTATGCACTATGAGGTTGCTACTGTACTTTATCCTTCACTTAACCAAAATAACTGACATATGTCCACCAAATAACCCTGAAATGCCCCCTACTCTGCTGTCCTTCCCACTCACAAAGGGCACACCTCACTTTGCATATACATTTTTTTTCTCACTTAACAGAATCATGGACATAGTATTCCTGACCTAAGTTTGCTCTATTGTTGGCATTTGCAATTGTTCATTTGTAATTGCTCTATTGTTTCATTTTTCACTATTATAAGCAGCACAGCAATGAATGTATTGTACACAATTGTACTTGGTTAATTCATTAGTGCACAGGACTGGAAGCAGAGTTAACAGGTAAAAGGACAAGAGCAGTTTGATGCATTCATCTGTGCAGCCACCCATTCATCAAAGAGTTGTGCTCCTACTGTGTGAGAAATGCCCTGCTAGCTGTAAAGCAGAAAAGTGACTTTAAAAAAAAATGGCTTATGCATACATTTTTATCACACACTGCCAGGAATTCTGAACAATTTTAGGGCTTTTAGCCACGTCTTTCCACCTACTTGGAAGCACACAACACCTTGTCCTACATGTCTTCAGAATCTAATAATGTTTCACGCTTCTCATCTTATGTATGTACATACTTCTTCATGTAGGAACGTTAATGTATCTTTACACTTTATTTTAAAAGGGAAGCTGCAATCATTTCCTCTTGATTATACTGTAGTTTCTTTTTCTATCACAAATTTTCACAGAATACCATGTTTATTTTAAGTATCTCAAATTTCAAAAGCCATCTAAAAAAAATTTTGAGTGTCCTGGGGACAAGATAGGATTTTGCTTGTCTTCATATACATTTATTATGCTTTTAATTCCCAAAGCATTGTATATCCTTTATAAAATTTCAAACATTATAAAGATACAAAATATAGGATCATAAAATCCTAGAGGCCATAGCACAGGGAGGTTAGATACGTAGACTTTAGAGTCAATCTGCCGGCATTTCAATCCCCATTTCATCAGTTTCTAGTTATGTGACCTTGCACAAGTTGCCTAACTATTCTGGGACTGAACTCGTTTAGCATTAAAATGAGGTTAATAAGAGCACGTACCTCCAGAACCAAGGGAGAGAACAGATGATTTAACGCATGGAAAGTATTTAGTGGAGAGATGACACATATTAAGCAGTCGATATACATTGCTGTTTTTTAAGTAAAAATTTCCCAAATACTGTAGTTGTGCCTTATTGTCTCATACTGTCTTGCAAATTGCTTTTTTACTTAATAGATCTTGAACATCTTTCCATGCCAATTAATTCCAATAGATCTACCCCATTTTTGGTAGCTGTATGATATTCCAGTGTATAAATATACAGTTATTTATCAACCCAAAACAAATCTGAAGTATTTTAGATTCATTATTTAACCAAATCATCAATAAATGGGATTTCTCCATTTTTTTCTATTAAGACACTGCCACAAGAAATATTCTTAAAAATATTTTAATGTTCTTATACACATTTTTGGGGAAAGTACATACATGTGCAATGCTGGACCACAGAATATAAACACTGGAAAAAATTATAGCTTCTTACAGCATTGAAAGAAGTGGAAAAAAATCTATAGCCATCTCCAAACTCTTAGCAACTATGTTTAAAAGTATCTTTGGCATACTAGCCAGGCCAATACTCTATGGTATCAATGTTGTTAAACTTTGGCAATCTAGTAGATGAAAATACCATATTGTTTTAATTTGTATTAATTTTTTTTAAATTTTTATTTATTTATTTATTTGAGAGAGAGAGAGAGAGAGAGAGAGAGAGAGAGAGAGAGAGATAGAGAGAGAGAGAGGCCAGCTCAGTCCACCAGGGGGCGGCGCTGGCTGGCATGTGGTGCTGGGGGATTGAACCGTGGTCCCTGATGCTTTTGCTAAGCTTGTTCTAAGTAGGTGCTTTAGACCACTGAGCCATCTCTCCAGCCCAATTTGTATTAATTTTTAATGTGACGCTTCATTTTGTCATAGATTTACTGATAATTTCAACATGTTTTTCCTGCAGGCTTCTACTTAACCTATTTTTCTGTCAGTTGTATGCCTTTTTGTAAGGACCTTAGAAAATATTTTATATGTTAAGAAAGAGGAGGGTTTTTAATTGATGGAAATGGAAAGGGAAAATGCTTGTAGGTATTTTATAGTTTAAGAAAACTTTGAACAGAGTTGTAGGTCTTTGAGCCAAAAAAGAAGGTACTTGTCTTCAAATATTCACTCTTCGTCTGCTGTGATGGCTCCGTAAGCCTTCTGGCCTTTTGAGCTCTCCTTGAAGCCTTTCTAAATCTCCACCAACAGCTGCCCAATTCCTCCTTGGCCTCTGCTGCACGAAACATGCACTTAGGAGAGCTCACTTGGTGACGTGGTGACCGCCACCTTTTACAGGTGGGGAAAGTGAATCCTGGAAAGGAAAGGCTGCCTGTCTCATTTCCTCAGGCAACTAGCTCTTGCCTTTCTTTTGCTTTCCTTTTCACCTTCTCAGTTTGTGGTTTGTAGACCACTGAATGGGTTATTGTGCCTGGGAAAAATGCATTTTATTTTGCAAGGTCCAATATTTACACCTTTCTTTGGCAGAAATTCTTATTTGTATTTCCTCTAACCCCTTGAGATATCATGTGAATGGATGTCAGCTTCCTTTTGTTATAAATGCTTCTCCTTTCTGAGCCATCTCTAATGTCAGGGTTTCCTTTCTCTGTAACACCCGTTGAGTTGTATTTTCTTCCCATCCTAGGGCACAAAGTACCTCTCTAAACAATCTCAATCCCAATCTCTCTCTCTCTCCTCCCCCTCCCTCCCTCCCTCTCCCCCTTTTCTTACCTTCCCTTTCTTCATTTCTTTCCTCCCCTTTTTCCCTTTTTGTTACATAGGCTATTCTATTGGCATCCTGATGATAGCCACTGATGTTATAGCAGTAGGTCAAGGGAATAAGCTTACACTAAGAAATGGATCAGTTAAGACTTTGGTATAATGGAGCCACTTTCACTATGATTCAAGGCGTCTTCACATAGCAGCATTAGCTGTCTCAGGAAAGATGGAGAAATTAGATCTCAAATGTCACACTGCCCCCAAATTCCGAGCTAAGGAGGGGAAGGATTTGTACAGTGACCTCCTCCTGGTCTTTTGAAATGTGCTGAGCAATCAATTGCCCTTGAAAATTCTTGTCTGGATTTAGGTAATTCTGTGGTTTTATAAGGAGCCTTCACTTAGGAGGCATGAAACCATAGTTCAGTTGGCTCCTTCCTTTACAGCAATATTATCTTAAGACCCACAGCACCTCTTGACCTCAGTTTCCCTATGTACAAAGTTAGTGAATTGGATTAAAACATTTCTATGGATTGCTTCAGCCCCAAATCATGATGGTTCTCCACTATCTAGGTCTTGGCTGCCTTTCTAACTCTGTAGCAGCCATCTAGGCTTACAAACAAACAGAATTAAGATCCAAGATGTCAGAGGGTAGATTCTTGTGCTGTGGTTTAGTCTACATCTTCATTCTTCCTGCCTCTGACCTAAGACCAACAGGAAGCATTAATTAATTGAAGTAACATTTTTTGCCCTGGTAGATTCTCCTACTTCAGTATATATCTGTTATCCTAGGAAAGGAAAATTCCAGAATTGAACTCATCTCTCCTTCCACCTCCCTCATTAAAGTCCCTTACATCCACCCCAGTTTTCCTGTGTTACTCTTCTACTCAGGCTACAATGAGCCAGTTCTCAGACTACCTTGTTCTAAGACCTCCAGTAGCAAACCCAGACTGTGTCTCACATACCAGAAAATAAACCAACCTGTTGAAAGAATACCCTAACTGGTGACCTAAGAAGCAGTGGCTTCATCTGCACTCCCAAGAAGCCCCCCTCATTCATCAGGCTGCTGGGTGGGGCATCTGATGCTTCCCCACTCTCTCCCACCTTATTCTCCCACCCCAAAGTGCAGGGAAAGGCTGGCAGAGGTGCCATTTATTGTTCTTAAAAGGGAATATTTGCTCCTTTCCAGAGGAGGAAATACTGGAAGGCAATGGTATCTTCCCATGATTCCCTAGGCTTTCACATCCTGCTTTTTTTTTCCCCCTATGATGGATGCAAAAACACCATAGCAAGCCTTATTCCTCCTCTCTTGGAGAAATGCTGATAGTTCAATCACAACATCAGGAATAGCTATGATAAAAGTCCAAGACAAAAAGCTGGGCATGGTGGTACCCTCATGTAATCTCAGCACTTGGGAGGCTGGGGCAGGAAGATCACTGCAAATCCTAGGCCAGCCTGGAATACATAATTGGTTAAAGGCCAGGTTGAACTACATAGTGAGACCCTGTCTCAAAGAAAGTCAGTAATAAAGAGATCTGCGTGTCAAGTAATAAGATTCTTCCTATTCAATACAGGATATTCAGATTCTGAGGTGTCCCTTATGCCTCACAGTATATGAGCCCAGGGGAATGCAGCTTAACATCACCACTAGCAGGGGGAGTTCTAGTAGCCTGAGTGACATATGCCTCAGGGCAGTGCTATGAGGAAAAAGGATTCTTGAGGGGAAGGGCTTATCCAGAACGTGACAGCAGATCACCCACCACTGCACTGCATACTCGTGCTCTCTCTCTCTCTCTCTCTCTCTCTCTCTCTCTCACACACACACACACACACACACAAGCACACACTCACACGCACACACGCACGCACACACACACACACACACAAGCACGCACTCACACGCATGCACACATACACACAAGAGCTGACCCGAGTGGACAGGTGCAGCCCTCAGGCTGCATGAAAAGCCTGCTGGAGACCCAAGGAATTCCTCATCTTCTGCAGTGCGTAGAGCAAAGACAGTGACTTTCAATGCCAATGATGAAACTTAAATGCTTCTGAAGTATCCTCAGCTCTCCACACAGGCAGAACGTAAATGAATCTGAGTCCCAAAATGGACCCAAGATGAGCAAATTTCCTAGCCCATATATGGCCAAATTTGAGATCCATTAATTTTACAATCAAAGGCATATTTGGAGTAAAGCAAAGGTGACAGATTCCTTTATTTTCCTCTGCAGGCAACATAAAACTTTGACCTTCAAAGGACTTAAAACTGTGAAACGCTATAAATATATGGCAAGAAAAAAGAGAAAGATGAGCTACTAAAATCTCAACTAATGATGGGCATTTACCCTGCCTCAGTCCAACGAAGTGAGGCATGAGTATCCCCTTCCCATGTAACTACTAAGCATCAAAACTAGTATTTGAACTCAGGTCAACCTGACCCCAAATAGCATTATCATCTTCTTCTTTAATAATCTAATAAGAGGAAAAAAAACCATTGTTTTAATTTGCATTTAATCATTAATGTTGTTCAGCATTTTTTAATGTTTATCTACTGTTCCTTTTTCTACTATCAATTGCCAGATGAGATTTTCTGCCTCATTTTCTATTTTTTCAACTTTGTTTGTATGAGTTTTGTGAACATAGGGATAATTCCCTATTACATGTAACAAATGTTAGAGTGAGCTACATCCTGTTTGTAAACATGCAGCTTTGAGCTAGCTGGTATTCATTCCAGAAATGAAGAGATCCATTTCCCTCAATGACAAGAGGTTATTTCCAACCACATTTATTATTAAAGATTCAATTTTCCTCCACTGAGTTAAAACACCACTCTCCTATGATATTTTGAAAAAGCCATCATTTTTGCTTTGGGAACCCCCAGAAGCAACACAGCAGTTATATTGACAACTGGGGAAGATCTGCCAAAGGCTAGGCTCTAAAGCCTGAGAACTGACAGATGCATAGTGAGCCCAGGACCTGGCACAGAACATGCCTTTACAGGACAGCTGTGGAAGGAACAAACAAGCAAATGGGCAAATGCAAATCTCTGCAAAGCTGCAGCATTGTAGAATATCAGAGGTTCTAATGAGCTTCAAGGAGAAAGGACATTCAGCATGAATGACCCCAGTGTACTGGATATGGATAAAATATGCAGGCTCTGAGCCCGGGCTGCTAAGAGTCCTTTCATGACTCCCCAGATTAAGGTAAAATGGCTGATGATGTTTGTCTCAGGTTTTTACATTTAAATAATTTCAGTGACTTCAGTCCCTTCAATCCCTCTATCAGTCCCTCAAGGGTACTTATTTTAGGATGAGAGAGAGAGAGAGCAAAATTTACAAAGGCTCAAGTCTCTTATGTAGAATGGCGTAATATTTGCAGACAACCCACACACATCTTCATATATATAAAACCATCTCCAGATTGCCTGTCTGACCAAAAACAGTGAAATGCTAAACAGTTGTTATTCTGTATGGTTGAGGCAATAAAAAGAAAAAAGTCTATACATGTTCAATGTAGACACAATGTTTTTCCAAATATTTTCCATCTGCCATGGGAACATTTTTCAACAGATACAGAGGGGAGCTACCTGTATTTTTATTATAGTTCTCAAGGTCCATTTTGGTGGTCACTGAGGGCATTTCCCCTCACCATGCCTTCCAAAATAACCACTCAGTAGGTGACCATCCTGAGAACACTTCCTTTCGCCCTGTGCTCTGCTTACCTAGATTTCCACTTACCCAACCATCCAGGGTGGAAATTCATCTCCCAACTTCACCCTGATCCCAGCAGACTTGAGATCCCTTCCTGCTCCAGTTTGGTAGCAGTTTTGTATTGTTTCTTTTTAAACTCTGGGAATCATTTGGGCCAAGTCTTCTCTTTAGGTGTACTTCACTAGAATATTCCAAGGCTGTCCTCTGCATGCATTGCAGAAAGACCCCCAGTCCTCAGGATGATCTCATTTGAAAGCTTCTATCGGGCCATAGGATCTGCCAGGTACGGCTGCTGAAGAATGCCCCAGAAGCTTCATTGCCTTGCACCATGACACCACCTGACAGTCAAAGTCAAATATACAGTTAACCATTTGTGGCAGGGTTTCTCCCTAAGTTTCTTTGCTGCTGCTAGCAGTCACTGAACTAGGGAAGTCTATATAAATTCCTTCTCGGGCCAGCCAAGTAGCTCAGCAGATTAAAGTGCCTGCTTAGGTAGATGCCGCAGCCAGGGTTTGATAGCTGAACTGAGAGGAGATTGAGACTGGCCGTGGTGGCACGTGCCTGTAATCCCAGCTCTTGGGAGGCTGAATGCAGGCCGACCACTATGAGTACAATGCAGGTAGTGAGATCCTGTAGATCCTGTACTAAAATATAAATAAATAAATAAATAAATTCCTTCTTAATCCAAGATCCATTTATAAAACTTTACCCTCGGACCCGTGGGTCCTGAACTCCTAGGACAAGGAGAAAATAAGTGTCCTTCTCTACTCAGCAGGTGGTGATCGAATCGGACCTGTACCCTCCACGGCCCCTGGAGCTGCTGCCACACCGCTCTGACCGCTGGGACACAGGAGATGGCCGCAGGTTCGGCCGGGTCCAGAACGCGCGACCACCGAGGGCACATCCTGCAAAAACCCCCACCAGACCTGGTACAGGAGTCCCAGTCCAACCCGATCCCCCTGGTCTTCCCAAGGCGCGGTGATCCCCGGCGAGCCAGTTCCACGCCTAGGAAAACACATGCCCTCGCAGTGCCCATTCCCTGCTTGTGTTTCCCTTGAGGTCTCAGTCACACCAGTGACACCTGTGCAGAGTGGCACCTGTGCTTTTCCCACATAAATCCTGTTTGCACTACAACACTGTCTACTGCCAAAACTCTGGCTTGTGTGTGCTGAGCGAAGACGCGCTGTCCATCGTCTCATTGTACAGGGAGAGAGGGACTGTGTTCAGAAGATGTAAGTTACGGTGCACAAGGGGAGAGAAAACCATGACCTGTGATGCGAAGGAAGCTCGTGCTATTTATCTAACAGGCTGCACATGGTAGTCCAGGATCTTCTTAAACTGTCATCTTAAAAACTTAATTGAACGATATAATGTGCAGAAAGAATGTGAGAGCCAATCCTTTTTTGAAAAGTGGAAACATTATAGTCTTATCATGCTGTTTTTAAAAATGGTTTCAGCCTCAAGAACTGAAACAGAAATCTGCCTCTAGCCCAGTGAAGTCTCTGATGGTATTTTGCCTTTGTTAGTTTACTTCTGTTATGCCCACAGCCTAAAGTTATTCATATTTTAACTGCAAGATTATACAATAGAAAGCCCAAGGTGTCCTTACATCTTTGGGATGTTAACAATTTCGTATTTTGCAAGAACTGAAATTAGACTCCATCGAGCATATTCTTTGCTCCACCTTCTCTTCCTACCCAATCAACCTCCTTTTTCATTTTTGTCCTCTTCCCCCCCCCCCCACCAGTTTCATTTTCCCCTTTCTTGGTTGCCCGAGGAGGTCTCTGAGGTTTTTCTGGTCACTAAGAACCTGCTCCTGTTTATGACCCTATGTATAGAAACACACAAAGCTGTATTTTCTAGTTAAGTGATTACATGTACACTGAAAGCATTAGGAAGACCACATTCGGCCTTGCAAATTAAAGAAGATAGATTTTTCTCTGTGTCTATGTATAGGTGAGTGGGTGGGTATGTGTATATGGGAAGAGAAAAAGAAGCAGAATATTTCTCTTTGCTACAAAATCAAAGTGAATTTAGAATCATGTTTCTGAGATTTTTTGTATGCAAGAGAAATTACCTAGGAATCTTGTTTTTATGCAAACTCTAATTTGGAAGGACTAGATGGGCCCCTACATCTTATAGTTCTAACAGGCTTCTCGATGTTACTATTGAGGGGATAACAGATTGAGTAGCAAGAATTTAGAGATGATCTAATACAGTGATTCTCAAAGTGGGGTCTCAGGAACAGCAGTGGCACCTGGAAGACTTTTTATAAATGTGAATTTTATTGAATTAGAATTCCAGGGTTAAGATACATCAATCTATCTTTCAACAAGCATCCTTCCTCCCTGATTCTCATCCACACTGGAGGTGGAAACTCCAATCCATTGCCACTTCCCTTTGCCAATGTACAGAAGAGAAAAATGAAACTATGGAAATTATTTGACCTACCTGATGTCACACCACCTGTGAGCCACACAGCCCTGTTGAAACTTCAGGTCCCCTGATTCCCTAGCCAGTGACACTTCCCCAGAGAAAAAGGCTCTTCAACTGTCTAGCTTTAGGGCCACTTCATACCTTTCTGACTAGTTTCTGGCAGTTTGGACTGCCAAAGTCACTCTTTTATTCTGAAAGACAAGAGCAGTAAGTTACGAAATGGAGAGAATCTGCCGAACACGTGATAGTCAGCCTGTGAAGGATGTGCCAGTCTGGTTTAAAAAAAAAAATAGATTGAGCTGGGCATTGATTCAATTCCTTCAGCTCCCCAATCTTATAGATTCCAGAGAAGGTAGGAGGGAGCATTTCTGAGCCAGACCCCAGTGCTCTCCAGGGAAAAGCTGGGCACAAGTCCATGCATTTCAAGCCTTACTTCTCCTGTCAGAAAGCTGAATGTCTCTGGGGATATCAGATCCAGGGACATGCTTTATTTTGGGGCCATAGGTGAAGGCTCCTGATTGTGGTAGTTTTCTTACATGGGAGAAAGAGGAGGAATCTTGGGCCTTCAGGGACTCTGAAGGCAGTGACCTGGTCAAGAAACTCCCACCATGGACCTCATGGGCCTGGAAAGGGGACTGTTTCCAGAGAAAAGCTGGGCACCGTTCCATGCATTTCATGTCCCTACTTCCCAGACCTGAGAAAATGACTCAGGTCCCTACCTGAAAATGACTCCCTATAGGACTTCTTCCCTAAGAGGACACCAGACACTTCAGAACCAATTTGCTCTAAGAAGCTGAAAGTTTATTTCTCAACTGGCCCACTGTCCATCACTCCAGCAAATTCTGGCATCTCTTTCCCAGCACCTCCTTGTCCTCCCATACCCTTTCTCACACTGAACACTAACAGTGTCAGTGATAGGTTCTGGTCCTGATATGAACTGCTGAATTATTATGGCGATCATCTAACATGTCTGAAGCCCTTAGAACAACAGCTTATTTTCCCAGAGGCCACCTCCCCTCTTTTCCAATACAGCCCAGGATACAGTTTCCTCGGACCTTTCCTGTGGCCACAGGAAAGACCCAGTCAGCTCCTCAGATACTTCTAAACACCTCCCTCAAACCCCACCCCTAGCAAAGGTGCATAAAAACCTCAGCTTTCTTTGTCTCAGGCCAGAGGATCTAGCTGACCCATCTGCCCTCAAACCTCTCCGTGTCTTTGGAGTTAATGAAGCCTTCTTTTATCTTTCCCATCTCTTTACTGTGTGCTGCCAAAAAACCTATCACTCAACACCTGAGTATTTCTCACCTCACTGTCTTTGTTCCTGCCATGGGCGGCCCAGGCTCAGACTGCCTGCTTCTCAAATATGCAGAGAACAGTCAGCAAACGTCCTGTCTCCAGTCCTTCCTCTGCAAGGCTACCAGAGAGGCCCTCCTAAGACAGAAATCTGCCTCTCATCAGCCTCTTTTGTTAAGCAGCAGGTCCCCATCTCACCCCTACTCCAGGCCATGCTACTCCTGTCCCACCATTCTCAGGTAGAGCAACCCTGAACTGCAGTGTACTATATGCTGTTGTATTCTGCTGCCCTGGACCTTTGCAGACATCGTTTCTTCCACAGTTTTCCTTCCCTGGGTCACTCTACCTTCTCTAAGAAAGGCTGGAAAAGGGAACCCCTTGGCCAAACTGCCCCAGACCAGCAAGGCCACCAAAGAGGTCCATTTACTACTAAATAACCCTTACCTGGCTTCATTATTTTTTGTTAAGTTTTCGGTGCAGAAGAAACAAACAAAAAGGAGAAAGAAAGCCTTTATTTGGAACAGGAGAAGACTACATGCAGCATAAAACTGTGTGCAAGTGGAGCTGGGAATTTATGAGGGCTCTGGCAGAGTCGGAACTTGAGGGGCGGGTTCAGCGAAGCCTAGGAGCTGATTGGTGCTTCTCTCCTGCTGGGAAGGGTTAACAGAAATTGCATTCGGAGCTAAGAGGAGAAGACAAAAGGTGATTTTTCAGCCTTGTTAGACCATCGCCATAATGATTCAGCAGTTCATACTCAAGCAGGAACCTATCATTTTTATGTACCTTCTAACACCTCAGTTTCTCCAAGTAGAAAGTGCAGACTACTGTGATATCTACGTCTTAGAGTTGTGTTAAGAATTACATAAAAACCAGGTATGGTGACACACAGCTGTAATCCCAGCCCTAGAGAAAGACTGAGGTAAAAGGATGGCTCCGTGTTTGAGGGAAGCCTGAGCTGGTGAATTTAAGACCAGCCTGAATTACATAGCAAGACCCTGTCTTTAAAAAACAAAACAAAAATTAAAATGAGATATAGCCATCCCTCGGTATCTATGGGGACTAGCTCCAGGACCTCTCTCAGATGCCAAAATCCATGATACCCAAGTCTCTTTTTTAAAATGACATGACATTTGCACATAACCTAATCGCATCCTCCCATCTGTTTTAAATCATCCCTAGGCGTTTAATAACTAATACAATGTAAATGCTACATGAGTCACTATTATAGTGTATGGCTCAGGGAATAATGACAGAAAAAAAATGTCTCTACATGTTCAGTACAATTTTTTTTCAAATATTTTCAATCCAGTTTATTGAATCCATAGATGCAGAACCAGTGGGTACAGAGAACTAACTGAAAATAGGTGATCTATGCTCAGTACAATGCCTAGTATATGCAAAAATATCAGCTGCTTTTACTTAAGCCTGGGCACCATTCATTGTAGTTTGATCTTGGTAATGGTAAAAGGAGAATCTGTTAGATCAATTAAACTTAGTAGATATATTTGAGCAAAATGAAACAAAAATTATTCACAAATTAGGCAGTGCTCAAAAAACCAACAAGTTCTGGGAATTGCAATCAATAAGCAAGGTATAGAAACAATTAATTGGCCATAGCCTCGCCAACAATCAGTTCACTGGTTACTGCTTAACTAGTTAATTATTTCAGCCTAACCACTTAAGTAGCTACAGAGCCTTCTAAAATGAGCCAAAGCTCAGTTCCTGCAATTTTAGCTCCATATTGGTTTGGTCAAAGCAGGTACCCAGTCCAAATCTATGGCCTCTCACAAAATTTTACTTAACAATAGTTAATTTTTTTTTTCATTTTATAAGCATTGAATACTTTCCTGAGGCAGGAGGCTCTATACACTGCAGTGTATGAGGTCAGGTTTGTCCTAGAACATTGGCCCAAAGAGAGATTTATGTTGAATGCTGGCTCACTCACCTCAAAAGATGACTACCTTGTCTCAAAATCTGAGTTCTTAGAAGCTGCAGACTTCAAGGTAGAAATTACCCAGAAGTAGGTTGAAGTATCAGGAATAAAGGTATTAAAAAGCAGATTCTTTATACACATATATAATGTAGCTAATGTCTCAGGATTCTGATCTGATAAACTCCAATCCTCCCATCTAATGGCCTGTACTTCCCATAACAGACACTTTCTCTGTTCACTGCCAGAGAGGTGTCCAAGAGCTCTATTTTCTGTCATTGATCCCAACTATGCGGACCTAACTCCTGGTAACCTCTTTGACCTCTAGTCACCTGGGGCTTTAGGAAGAAGGAACTTAGAGGGCATTCTCTGAGAACCCACAGTGCTAAATACATCTACATGTATGCTCTTTTAAAATTGACCTTAATTGGGGCTGGGGAGATGGCTCAGTGGAATAAGTGCTTCCCTGGCAAACGCAAGGGCCTGAGTTCAATCCCTGGTTAAAAAAAAAAAAAAAAA